TCTGCCCCCAAGTAAACTTGTCTTTTAATTGCATTTTCCACAGACTTTTGGAAATCCCTTTGCATATGCTGCTGTCTCTACTTTGATAGGGCTCTGTTCCTTCTCTGCTGAGCCAGTCTCGGTGCTTCCACTCAGCGTCCATGTCTTCCGGAGGGCTTCCTGACTCCTTGGTAAACGGACCCACTTCCTCTCTGGGCCCTAGCGCAAGATTTTCATGCCTACAGCGACCTGTGGCTTGTGTATGCTGTGTGTCGCTGTTATGCTGGTCTCTGAAGTGTGAGAAGGCCTGGAGTGGAGTTACCATCTTGCTGTTCCAGTCCCCATGTTCAGTACACAGTACTGATGCTTAGTGAATGTTTGCTGAATGATGAGTGCAGAAAACCAGGCTACGATGTGGGCAGTGTGTTCTGAGCTTCTCTCGAAGGAGCTGAGGGTGTTTAAACTGCTCCTGATTGTCAGTAACAGGCTGCCTCACTCTGTCCCAGGAAATGCTAGCTCCAGGTGACTACGCTCAGCTCCAAGTGGGCCGGGGGGTTCCACCTGCACACATCTCCCTCAAATCAGAAGCCTGGAGAGTGGGCTGAGCGTGTCCTTAGGCTGCCTGGCGGGTGAGGGCGTCTCCTATGGCACACATAGGCTTTCCGGCAGCTGGCATCAGCGCTTCGGTACGGCTCCTGTGCATCTCTGAATCCGGAAGACAGGATTCTCATCAACTAGAGCTTAGGGCTACTTTAGTCCCAGGTGCAGGCTCATCAGACAGGGGCAATGCTAGTGCCATCTCGAGATCCAGGGTTCCTATCGTGGCCCCTGAGGCCATCCTACACACTTGCAGGGGCATGGGGGAGTGAAGGCGACAGACTCAGAAAGCTGGGGTTCCAGGGCCAGACTTTGCACACGTTTCTCAAATGTTCTCAAACTCAGTTTACTCATCTGTACACGGGCACAAAACAGCACAGAGATGGTGTGTCCTCTGTCCTGGCGTGACCATTGCTAGCTATGAATACAAATCATTCACATACAAAACTCCGTTGATTCTCACCAAAATCTTGTTATCTTTGTTTAGGCAAAATACAACCCCTGCAGTTTAAAATAGGAATGCAAAGTGAAAAGGCACTGAGGTCTTGCAGTCTGAGTCCTGAGTGACTAAATGTCATAGCCAAGGCCGGAGAGCCCACATCTGCCACCTGGCCTCAGCCTCCAGTAACGTGGCCCGGGGGTGAGGGAGGCCCAGTGAGTTGCGGCTGCCTCCCTGGGTCACAGGGAGATCTGGGGCCAGTCAGTGGGGAATAGGGGAAGGTGAGTTTACGGGAATGGAGTCTGATAATGCCCACTTGTGTTAGTTCCCCATGGCTGCTGTAACAAATTACCCCACGTCCGGTGGCTTAAAACAGCACACATTTATTTTCTTACACTTGTGGAAGTCGGAAGTCCAACATCAGCGTCTCTAGGCTGAAATCAAGGTCTAGGGCAGCACTCCCTGCAGAGACGCCAGAGAACAATCGATTTTCCTGCCCTTTGTCAGCATCTCGAGCTGCATTTCTGGGCTTCTTTGGCTGCTGGGTTTCCCATCGTCAAAGCCAACGGCCACAGCAGCAACCCGCAGCCTCCCCCTTCTGTCTCTGCCTCCTCCAGGGACATTTACGATTTGGGGATCACCTCCATAATCCAGAATAAATGGTCTGCCTCCAAGATCTGTAATTCAATCAGGCCTGAACCCCTCCCCAGTTGTCCATTTAAGGCAACATGCAAGGGTTCTAGGAGTAAGGACCTGGGTATCTCTGGTGGGCATTAATCAGCCCCACACACCAGCTGGAGGCTGAGGAGCTGTGACCCAGGCCTGCACTTGGACCTGAGTCTCCCATGGCCCCCTGCCTGGCCCCCTGCTCTGCTCTGATTCTCCTAAGGAGACCTTTTAACTTGCATCTGTGGGATGAGGGTAGAAGAGACGGGTCTTGGCTGAGGCCACCTGAGTTGACCACTCAGCTTGCCTGGAAACACCACTTGGCTTTCCTGACGTTTGAAAAGATGACTTGGGAACCGTCAATGCTGGTGGGCATATCCTACCATGCTTTGCACGCATTTTTACACACAGGGTCACTTACAGGGTCTGGCACATCTGTTGACCTCCGCAGTTCCAGTATTGACACGGCAGCCTCTTTGTAGCTTCTCTGAGCAGTCAGGGGCCATGGCCTGCCTTTTGCACCTTTCTCAGAATCATGATGTGATGGTGGGCCCCATCAGGAGCCTGTGGGGACCGCCTTCCCTTTCCAAGACACTCTACCCGTGTGACATCAGGGCCATCTGGTCATGGGCTGGATTATCTGGAGACCACACCGAAGGTCTTCTCTCACTCACAGCTGGCTCAAGCTGGTGGTCTTCCCTTTCAAGCCTTCTCCTGGGGAGTCTGGCATGCGTGTGGGAGGCAGTCTTGAGACATCAGTTACCAGTATTCTCAAGAGGAAGACAAATCACAACTTTAAATTGTCTTTTCTGTTTCCAATAGAAAATATTCAGGGATCTATACGGTCTGCCGACTTGAGCTGACATTTCCCTCCCTGAAGGTTGTCTTCTGAGAATCCTTGAGAAATCCCATGAACCTCAGTGCTTGGATGCAAAAATACCAAGACCCTTTCCCCAGTAAGGCTTTTTTCTCTGCAACAGGTGTTTCTCTGGCAGTGCCAGCTGGAACATAAACATAGATGTCAGAAGCCTGGCACAACCCAGTTAGGCAGGAAAGCCGTGTGCCCTTGCTGCTGGGGGACGGGTGGATAACAGGGTGCATGGGGGGGGATCTTGGCACCCATGTTTCTGCTCACTGAGACGTTTATCAGCTGTGGGGACTTCAAGCATCCATTTTGCTCACTGAAGTGAAAATCATCTCACCCATTGCCATAGGTTGTGGGCAAAAGCTGAGCCCCAGAAAGAGAGCAGAGAGCTGAGCCAGGTTAGGTAGTTCCGTTGGCTTTTTAGACGACTGTTTGCTGCAGGGTTGTATCTGAGGTTATGTATTCGGGTTCTGTTATTTAATCTTTCCAGCAGCCTGTGAGGGCAGTCTGTGAGGCTGCTTCCAGCGGTTCATGCAACAATGAAATTAACAGTAGGCTTATTCTGGTGCAAACAATTTGAGATCCATGCATAGATTTTTTCATAATACATATTTTCCATCAACTTTTGAAGAGGTTTCACATGCCTGGATTTCAAGAGTGTTTTGCATAAAAATAAACTTTATCATAATCCCATTTTCCACAAACCTTTTGAAATACCCTGGAGTTGCTCCTCATTCTTCAGGAGGGGAGACAGAAGACAACAGAGTGGAAGAAACTTGTGCATGGGGCGGGCGCTGTGGCGTAGTGGGTAAACCACCACCAGCAGTGCTGGCATCCCATATGGGTACTGGTTCAAGTCCCAGCTGCTCTACTTCTGGTCCAGCTCTCTGCTATGGCCTGGGAAAGCAGTAGAAGATGGCCCAAGTGTTTGAGCCCCTGCATCCACCTGGGAGACCGGAAGCAGCTCCTGACTCCTGGCTTTGGATTGGCCAAGTTTTGGCCATTGCAGCCCTGTCGTGGCCATTTGGGGAGTAGAACCAGAGGATGGAAGACCTCTCTCTCTCTCCCTCCCTCTCTCTCTTTCTCTCTTTCTCTGCCTCTCTGTAACTCTGCCTTTCAAATAAATAATCTTTGAAGAAGAAGAGAAGAAAGAGAAAAGAAGGAAGGAAGGAAGGAAGGAAGGAAGGAAGGAAGGAAGGAAGGAAGGAAGGAAGGAAGGAAGGAAGGAAGGAAGGAAGGAACAAATTAGAGAAAGTTGTGCCTGGCCACCCAGCCAGTGAGCGGGTTTGCAGGCCCTGGGTGTCTGCCTGACCCATCTCTCACCTCTCTGCCACCATGCACTTTACTCCGCTGTCCACAGCTGCATTTAGTGGAAAGTTCCAGAAGGGGACATGCATGATTCCACCCTGACCAAACCGTGCTGGTGAAGTAGACACACCCTAAATTCCGATAACACTGGGATGCACTAGGACCAGGGCCTCCCCTGGGCAGTGGCTGCTTGCTCTGCTCCAGAGTCATGGGGAGAAGCACCCGGAAGCTGAGGTTGGAGGCTCCTATGCAGGCTCTGCGTGGTTCATTGTGAATCAATCTGCAGAGTTAATTGTAAGGAGCAGAGGTCCTCAGAGGAGGGCCCCTGCACCCACAGCATCTGGGAACTTGTTAGAAATGCAAATTCTCAAGCTCTACCCAGAGCCACTGAATCAGAAAAGCACAGCCTGGGGCTCAGCAATCTATATTTCTACAAGCCCTCAAAGTGATTCTGATTTATGCTAAACAGGTCTCCTTCCCGAGTTGCTGCTCTGCCACTCTCAGCAGAGCCCTTTGTCTTCTGCAGCAGAGACGGGACTTTCACAGCTACTGCCAGCACTTGGGCGGGCCAGGAGCAGGGCTCCAGGGAGCTTCCCACAAGTGCAGAGAGCCGTCTGGCCACCAACGGCAGACAGAGGGCGTCTTTGCTGGATGAGAGGCACTTCCGCCGGGGAGGGCTCTTTGGCCGTCCCACCTGGCAAATTCTGGGTGGGGGGCGGGGTCTGGGGGTTCCTGGTTCCTGCGTTGGCTCAGCTGCCTGTCTCCTCCCAGCACCTCCCCCTCCCGGCAGCCTTCTGACTTGGGAACACTTGTCCAGACCTCAGATGCATGTGATCCCTGTCATTAGCACCTTGTAGTTGGGATCCTTCCTTGTAAATCTCTTTGTTCTCTCAAAGTTCAGGGGAAGGGAGGGGCAGGAAGCCTGGAGGAGCTCTCCTTTCAGCCGGTTCCTCTGCTCCAAGTAGAACAAAGCTGGAGTGTGGGGAAGGCGCTTTGATCCCAGACAATGAGAGCCGCTGGATTAAGTGTTTGGAGGGACCAGACAGCTCTGGCACAAAGCAGATCAGTTACATTTTTTTTTCCTTGCCTCTTTTTTCTTTTTTCTTCTTTTTTAGAAAAAGACCTAATTCATGTACAGGGAACAAAAAAAAAAAAAAAAAAAAAAAAAAGAGGACAGTGTTTTGAAGGATGTTATTTCCATAGCTGGAAGTCTCAGACGTAACCTGAAACACCTGTGCCCTGGGTGTGCTGTCCTGGCATGGAGACCCTGCCCTCGAGGGCTGGGGTTGCACGTGGCCTTGGCCAGGGCCTCTGGACACCAAGTGGGACTGAGAAATGCCGGAACTGGGAGGGAACTGAGGAAGTTGCCCATGTGTGTGACACTGTGGCTAGGCATGGAGGTCTCTGAGCTAAAAATAAACCTAATAAAAGGAGCACTCCCATGTGGAGCACCTACGAACTACTTTACACGTCAACGTACTGAACCTCCACCTTGATCCTGGGGCTCCTTTGCTCTTAAGCTTCATGGCCGCTCAATGACTCATCAGGTGGGTGATGCTGTCATCACCATTGTTCAGATGAGAAATTCCAAGGTACAGGGAGGCCAGGACATTGTTCAAGGTCACCCAGCAAAATAAGATGCAAACTCCAGGCGATCAGGGCTCATGATCGAAGCCACAGGACAAAGTCCCCGTCCGTAATGGTTCCATCCAGCTAAGGATGTGGCCGAGCGGGGCAGGGAAAGCCCAGGACGATCTCAGGAGACGGTGCCTGGCTGTTGTCACTTCCACTGATAGAGAAACTCAGCAGGGTGTGGCCAAGACTGGCTGCACGGGCAGAGCGTGGTGGGAAAGCAGAAGATACCGGAACCGGGACCTCGGAACTCCAGGTGGCTGGGGAGAGGCAGGCTTCGCTGGCTGCTCAGGGCGCTGAGTCTAAGAACCCCAGAGGGTGGAGGAAGGGGAGAGCCGTCCCAGGTCTGGAAGCGTAGCGTGCAAAGGCGCGAGGCGTAGACCAGGGTGACGAAGGTGACAGAGCTCAGGACGGTCTTGCCTCCCAGGGCCTCTGCCGATCCCCGGGGTTTCTGCTCTATCAAGATGATGCTGCTTGAACTGGAAGTTGGCAAGGCCGGGAAGGACCTCGGGCTACACTTTGGGTAAATGCATAGAGTTCTATCCAGCTAGCTAACCACTCGGGTTTAACCATTTTGTGCCACTTAAAACTCCATTCCAGGCAGGCTGATTTTCTACGTAGCCTGTTTACTCCCCTCATGCTCGCTCAGCCTTGGCCTTGCTAATTTCCCTTCCAAGCATGCCCTCTTGTGTCCTTGATGTCTAGCTCTCAACTGTAGTCCAAGTCTGGTTTGGATTTGGCTTCCTCCAGGAAGCAGACCATGCTTCTCCCACCCGGGAGCAGCCACCTCCTCTTTCCAACTGCCTTGTGGCGATGACGGCTTCCTATCTTGTGTGTACGCCGTACTCCCCTGTTAGATGGCAGTCTGTGCAGATAAAATCCCTTTTAATTTGTTGTCTCCTGCACCTCGCCGAGGATCTAGCCTGTGGTAATATGCAGTAAGTAGTTGAAAATGCAATGAGGAGCGCATTAGGAGCTGCGGCTCTGGGCTCCCGTTAGGGCTGTTACTGCTGTAGTGAACCGGGCAGCAGGCAGAGGAAGCCCTGGGCGGAGACCCTCCGGAGAGCGCACAGAGACTTTAATGTGTGGACAAGAGGAGTCCTGTGTTCCGCGAGCTCAGCTGTGGGCCGTTTGAGGCTTCTCTGTCCCCTGCCTGTTCGATGGAAGACAGATCACTAATGCTTCTCTCGGTTTGACAGCTCAGTACGGTTTGGAACGGTCCTGATGGGGTTCAGAACGCGGTACCCAGAAGGTGGAATCTTGGCGTTTGAGAAAGCAGCAGAAGCAGGAAGCTCATTCTCACCTTCCCTGCCCACTCCCCCCCCCCCCACCCCGAGCCAGTCCTAAGACCCTCATCAGGGACGAGCCCACCCTTCCTTGGTCCTTATCTTTGAAGACCCAGTGACACGGAGAAGACCCTGCGCACAGAGGCCCTGCTGAGCCCCCTTCTGCCCGCCTGCCCCTTACTGTTGCCTCCTCCCCTGGTGTCTCATCACGTTTCTCTGCAACTCCCTTCACGAAGCTGAGCCTAAGAAGACACAGGTTCCCCTGTGTCCTTGGAGCTTCATGTCCCAGGGCTCCTGTGTCCCATAAACTTACGGTAAGTGAATTTGCATGCTTTTTACTTGGCACGCTGTCTTTTGTTGTGGGGGCTTCAGCCCCAAACTCCAGATGGGAAGAACAGCTATTTCTTCTTCCCTCCAGCACATTTCTCTGATCTGATGGGGCAACACAGTGTCCGAACAAGGCTGGGAAGGGCCTCGATTCAGCCGTTCTCTCGAATTCCAAAGACCTGATAAACCTGGGCCCTTTTTTCCCCCCTTGGTGCCAGATCAGCTCTGCTTATCGACTGCTATTTTAATGAAACCTCCTGGTACCGGCTCAGGAAGGATATTTTTATTAGATACGACTGGGCGGATTCTCATGTTGAAAGCATTTGGTGTAAAACATGAACGCATCCAGGCCTCAGATATCTTTCCAAATATTTCCTTTGAAATCGGAAAATTACCAAGGAACTTGTGATAAAAAGATGAAAAAAGGAATTCAAAAGCAGAGATGACGTGCTTCTCTCCTCGCATTGCTGCCTGGGTGGGACTTTGGAAACCCACAACAGTAGAAGGTTCGATGGGGAGAGGAGCTGAGCGAGCAGTCCAGGCCCTGGCTGAGCCTGAAGGGCCAGGAGGAGGGTCGGTGGTCTTGTCCGGTGCTCTCCCCGCCCTTGCAACTTCCCCACTGGGGACTGAAGTCGCACCGAGGCAACGAGGCCAGCTCTGGCTCACAGAGAGTTAACTCTGAATTCACGATGTGCCTGGCATGATGGTGGCTGAGTCCCAGCACCAGAGAGAACATTGCCAACGACATTTATAGCGATCCACCCTTCCTTCCCCATTGGAGATCTCGTCGGAGCTCATCCACCTTCCCCAGCTTGAAATACAGCAGAGATAGAGACTTGAAGCCCGCGTTCAAACACTGGTTTTGCCACTTTATGGTTCGGTGAACTTAAGCAAGTCAATGTACTCCTGTGCCTCAGTTGCCTTATTGTTAAAATGTGCATAAATAATAGTGCTTGCAGGAGCGGGATGGGAGATAATTTATATAGCACATTTAACCATACCCAGTATTATTATTATTGTTATTTTTAGATTTCATTTATTTATTGGAGAGGCAGAGTTATAATCAGAGAGAGGGAGAGACAGAGAGAGAGGTCTTCCATCTGCTGATTCACTCCCCAAATGTCTGGAATGGCCAGAGCTGTGCTGATGTGAACCCAGGAGCCAGGAGCTTCTTCCAGGTCTCCCTCATGGGTGCAGGGGCCCAAGGACTTGGGCCATCTTCTACTGCTTTCCCAGGCACATCAGCAGGGAGCTAGATCAGAAGAGGAGCAGCCAGGACTCAAACCAGCGCCCATATGGGATGCTGGCGCTGCAGGCATAGTAAGATTTAACTTACTATGCCACAGCGCTGGCCCCTCATAGCTGGTATTAAACACTCAGTCATTGCTAGCGATGAATGCCATTACCATACAGACCCATCTGGCTCGGACCATGGAGAGTGGGAGGGATGAGGAATTAGACCTTTTCCCTCTAGGGACGCGCAGTAATCACCTGTGATCCCTGGACAGTTTCCACATGTACGTGAGCCTTTCTCAGCTCCTGACGGTGTACGAGTCATTGAGATTGCTCCCCAGGTTAGCAAATGTGCCCCGCGACGCTTAGCAAGAATGCGTGAGCTGCTCTTGTCCTCTAGTGAAAGGTGGAGGCAGAGCTGGAATCCAGGGCAGATTCAGGTCATCCGTAAGGGGCCTTGTTTTCTCCATAGAGCGATTTTAGAGGTGCATTTTGGAGGATACCAAACAAGGACAATAAGAGCCATACATTTTTTGGAAATATTTATTTTATTTATTTGAAAGGCAGATTTACAGAGAGAGAGAGAGAGAGAGAGAGAGAAATCCACTGGTTCACTTCCCAGATGGTTACAGCATCCGGGGCTGGGCCAGACCGAAGCCAGGAGACTTGAACTCCATCCAGGTCACCCGCATTTGGGCCATCTGCTGGTGCTGCTTTCCCAGGCGCCTTAGCAGGGAGCTAGGTAGGAAGTGGAGCAACCGGGACTCAATCCAGGGCACCTATGGGGTGTTGGTGATGCAGGCAGCAGCTTAACCCATGTGCTAGGATGTGCTGGGATACAATTAGCAAGACATTTATCTCCAGAATTCCTGCTGCTTACCCAGTGCACCCAAGATGACTGTCCTAAATTTCTACTGAAATTCCCCCTTGCTGTCATTCAATCTTATCCTCCTAGCTTGATGGGTGGGGAGCCTGAGGCTCAGAGGAGCCACTAGGCACTGGCAGGACCTCAGCAACTTGGGAGGGAAGAGATGCTGGTGGTGTATTCTGGAGAAGAACACACGGCACTTGGGCTCCTGTTGGTTTCACTCAGCAGGGCTTGCAGGGATGTGTGATTCCTTCACTCCAACCAGGAGATCAGAGCAGCCTAGTCTGAGATGTCCCCTGGGGCACAGCTGTTCCATGAGCTCTTCGGAGCCTCCACCTGGGCCGACCTCCAAGTCCCGGCCAGTCGTGCCTCTGCCCCCCCGCAGGTTTCCCAGCTCACACCTTCCCCTTCCTGCTTCTCCTTGGTTGCTTCCTCTCGATAGCATTCCCTGGCCCAAGTCCTTTAAGACACTGGAAATACTGGAAATTTCAAAGTCCTAGCTGGGCCTGGTGCCCCTGCTGGTTGGCTGCCTGGTCTGGGCTTCCTGTCCAGGCTCCACTGGTTCTTCCTTATTTCTGGGGACTGTTTGCTTTGCTCTCATCTCTTTGTGGAGACATCTGCTCCCCTGGCCCTTATCTTTCCTGATCTACACCGTAACTCTGGCTTATGGACAACCCTATCTGGGGCAAGCTGGGACCCTCAGTATTATTTTTCTCCCTTCCCTGGCAGCATGGATGATTAGAGTAGTGGCCTTGGGCCAAGTAACCAGGTCTCCCTTTTGCTGGAATATATAAGCAATGGGAAATTTGTTTTATCTTTAAATTTTTTTTGGCTTATTTTCATTTTATTTGAAAGGCAGAGAGGCAGACAGAGAAACATCTTCCATCCCTTGGTTCACTCCCCAAATGCCTGTCACAGTCGCAGCTGGGCCAGGCTGAGACCAGGAGCCTGGAACTCAATCTGAGTCACCCATGTGGGTGGCAGGGAGCTGGGTTACCTGCTGCCTCCCTGGGTGTGCGTCAGCTGGGAGTTGGATGGGAAGCAGAGGAACAGGAACTCCAAGCGTGTGTTCCCACCTGGCGTGTGGGCTCCCCCTGTGCTGACCGAACTGCTACACCACATCTCAGCCATGCCGGGTTGTGGAGTCCCAGGCGGCTCTGTGGCTTGGTCAGCGATGTGCTTCCTGGACATGGGGTAGGGTGAGTCTGTCCTTCAGATCCTCTTGGGAAACTCTGTTCTTCATTCTAGGCCTCCAGCCACTCCTCTGGAGCCCAGCACTTTGTTGCTGTGGCTGATGAAGAAGGAGCACTTCTCCCCACTTCTGGAAAACTGGGGTGCGGTAGCACAGAGACAAGGCCTATAGCAGAGAAAGAAACTTTTTTTTTTTTTAGCATCTACCATATACAAGCTCTGAAATAGTTTCTTTGCTGTATAATCTAGAGTTTCTCTGATTCCTAAATTCTGAAGCAAATTCTGGAACAAATTCAACCCTTCTCTATCCATGCCTAGGGGTGGGGTGGGTGGGGTGGGGTGCGGTGAGGGGGTAATGACTTTCTCAGGATTTGTGTGACTTTCAGATCTTCATCTCATAACAAGACAAAACGTTTCTTCTTTCATTAGGAGCAAATATGAGTAACAGGCAACTGTGTTGTAAAGATCTTATTTTTTTTCTTCTTTAAACACAAATACATTTCTCATAAGAAAAAATGCGAGAGATAGATATTTTCAGTCCCACTTTACAGATGAAAAAAATTGAGTACGTCTTAGAAATGTGAACTATGTTCTCTTCCTTTGCATAGCAAATGCCTGGCAGATTCATCATTCAGATCCAGAGCTGCGTGACTCCAAACCCATCTTCAATCAAAATGAAGTTGGACCTTGGATTGCGAGACCAGTTTCATTGTGTAGCTGATGTGGGTTTTACAGTGTCATCTTTCTGCTCCCATTATGGATGAATTCCACTTTCCCAGGCAGCGTTGTAATTTGTACGGAGTAAGTAGAATTTCCACCTATGCAGTCTAAATTTTGGCCCTGAGATTTTGACGATGCAGGAGTGATGGGGAAAATCGCCAATCAGTCTATTGAGTTTCTTTGTAAACGTGGGATGACTCATACCCTCACAGGAGGGTCTTCAAGAAGCTTCACCTCCCGGAAATAAATGTTCTAGTAACTTAGTTACAAACTGCAGGATTCCAGATCTTATTAGGACCCAGCGTGTAGTTCTGTACTGTCCCAATTTTATCTTCAGAATTGATTTAATTAGCTAAAAAACATTTGCATGTGTAATTTGTGTTTTTCTTCTGATGCATCGTGATAACAAGCTATTCTTTTACATCATTAAGATGGAAACATATTATATTTTCATGCAAAGCAGAATCTGTTATTTTTGAAGTGTCTAGTCCTCTTGTCTTTAAAATATTCAAAAAGTAAGTGTGTGTCAGACAGTGGCTGCCCTGGGCTTTTGGAGGTCCGACTTGGAGCTCACGTGACTGGGGGTGGCTTCATCTGTGATACATGGAAGCTGTTCCAGGCTGAGGAATTCACAGGAGTTACAACTCCATTAATGTGCTCACAGCAGGCCAGTCCCTCACTCGGAATGGGGCTGGGCATCGCCACGGAGGGAAGAGGGGCTGAACATTTTAACTGGCGTTGGTCTTTATGGCGTCATTTAAAGCCACAGTTTTATAGCCGATTTCTGTCGTTCGACCTTGGAAGCTCAGGAACTCATCATGGTTTTGGAAATTGTATCCACCTTGATTAACCTCATTGTCTATAAAGTTACAGTCCATGAAACAGCCTCCTCTGACACTTTATTAGAGGAGATTATCATAAAAATACATTCTTAAAATGTTATTGATTTTAAGATGGCAAAGAGGAGAAGTTTATCTAATTACCAAATATATATTCCCACTGTTTGATAGATGTAGGAAAACAGGATTTTATTGACAATTTCTGAGAAGCTGGGTGAATTTTCCCCCTGACTTTACAGAGCCGTGCAACTTGACTAAATTTAAACATAGACATAACCTCCAAAGGTATTTTATGAGAAGAAATTCTTTAACTGGCCAATTGTCTATCTTAGGTAGCTCCAATTCAGTTCTGTTTATAGTTTACTTATTTTTTGCCACTATTCTACTTTTTTTTTTTCAGTTCAGGGTAAAGTTATCCTAATGCTGTGGGAGCTCAGAGTTGTAGTGTCAGAAATCACAGAACTCTGTGTCGGTTTCATTCCCATGAGAAAGGTACTGAGGGTCTCAGCCTGGATTTCTCTCCTCTCAAGTAAAGGGGTGATGAAAAGCCATTAGGGATAGGGGAGAACGGGCTGATGATCTTGCACAGAGAGCATCTACAAGCAGGGACTTGTGTGTTTCACTTGGGGAGGATGTATCCAGCTATGTGGACATTTTAGGAGTTTTATATGGAAGAGTAGGGGAAATCACCTGTTTTAACTGGCGATCCCGGGAGCTCCCTCTCACGAGAGGTGACCTAGTACATCCCCCGTGATGGGCATTATGAAGTGTCTACACTAGATGGCATTATGAAGCGTCTACACTAGATGGACGACTGGCCCCGGGGAGCCAGGAACCCCTGCTGCACCTGGTGACCTGCAGGTCCCTGGTTCATTACAGCCTGGAGAGATCTCGTGTGGAATCTGATCACAGGGCTCCATGAGTCAGTCTGGTGACTCACAGACACAGCCTCCATGGACGGCTCTGTCTTCCAGTGTCTTATTTGTTTCTAACGTGTTTTCCACCTTTGATGGATCATGTGTTTCCTGCCAGCCTGACACCCACAGGTCTCCCTGTCCAAGGCGCCCCTGCTCAGTCTTTTCTCTCTATTGCCGTCCCCACCCCCCAGTCCTCCACCTGCACATCCTCTGTCTGCCACTTCCTCCTTGTCTCTCGTTCCCAGACTCCCAGCTCCCTTCAGGGCCACAAGACGCTGCCTTTGGCCGGTGGATGTTCACGTGAGTCAACTTCACGTCTAAGAAAAGCTCCCTGGTGTATCTGGGGTTCTGTCTTCAGGGCCTCATTTAAGAAGTGGCACCTGGGGAGAGAATAGGTTTAGCAGAAAGACCTGAATTCAAGTCCTCTCTGTGTCATTTGCCAACTGCAGAATCTTGGGGAAATCTCATCACATTTCTCACCTTTCTGGGTCTCTCTCTCCCCGTCTCCTGAAATCACCAGTCTCTCAGGGGTTGCGTGCATTAGGAAGAAGTTGACGTAAACTTCTTGACTTAAATCCCACAGCAGGTAGTAGGTGTTCACAAATGGCTGTTTCTAGTAACATCATCTCTGCTTCCCTTCCTGGGCAACACCATTCTGCGTGGCTTACAGTATTCAGAATCATTTTTCACCATTTCTCACTCCCTTCGGAAGCTTTTTAAAAAATTTATATGACCTGTGACATGAACAACTTATGTCAAATCCTGCCTCTTCCAGGAAGTGTTCCCCATTAAAGGGAGTCCAGCTCCAGCTAATCTCCATCCTGGCTTGCTCTCTGCAAGACAGGAGACCCACTGTGCTGCAAGGGTTAGGAGGGAGCTGCCTCTCCAACACCCCCCAGGCACAGAGGCCCTGGCTGCTGCCTGTGTTTGTTTGAACGTGGGCGAGTCCCTTTTGATGGTGAGGCCACCTGAGCTAATTGTCCCTCTGTGTGGTGGACATTGTGAACCGGTAGAGCAGTGACATGGTAGGAAGAAGAGAAGGTCTGAAGTGAGAGAGACAGAGCAGGTGCTTTCTGTGCACCCTCACAGGCTACCCGGGACCACGACAGGTTTTCCAAGCTAGGGCTCAGCACACCTTTTCTTCAAAGGACCAGATAATATTTGGGGCTTTGTGGTCCATGTGACCATGGGAAGCAACCAGTGAAGTTTTCCACTGTGGCTTGAAAACAGCCATCAGAGAAGTTTGGAATGCATGAGTGTGGTTGTGTTCCAAGAAAGCTTTATTTACAAAAACAGAGCTTGGGGCTCACTTTGGGCTACAGGCGACAGGTTGTTAACTTAGTCCCGTGTTCTCCAAGCCTCAGCTTACTCAGCGTCAACACGGGGATCTTAGAGTGTCAGGAAGATTAAATAGCAGAACTGAGACACCCAAGCACATAGCCTGGCCCCTAAAAGATCCCGGAACGTTACTTCTTTGCCTCCCTCCTTTTTCTCCCATGAGTTTCTGAACAGTGAGAAGTTAGGAAAAAACTGTACACAAAGCTCCCCCCACCCCAAGTCCTGTGATTTTATGAAATTGCCCTTTGAAGAAAGAACAAGCAAGAAAGAGCATGCCAGAGAGAGAAAATTGTATGCGTGTTCTTTTTCTCTGCAGAGTCTGACCACAAGGAGCATTAAATCAATCAGATGACAAAGCAGAATATGAAAAATTGAGTTGGTTTGGTCCCAAGTATGCAGGAGGCTTGTGCTGTTGGGATCAGAAGCAGGAAAAAAAATAAATAAATGGAATGTTTTCTACGCATTATGTGCATTGGCTATTCTGTGACTCCCACATAATTCATCACAGGAAAACTTTGAGTGCAATAAACATTTCCCCTAGTTTCACGGTTGCTCTGATCAAGAACAAAGCCATTAACATAAATGCAGATAAATACAAGGCAAATAATGATATTCCCAATTGCTTCTGTGTCAACCAGCTCAGCCCATCAATCTTGCCTGACTGGTTAAGAAGGAACGGAGAGAATTTATAACCGGGGAAGATTTCTTTCTGGAGCATTTCCACCGAGGAGAAGAGAGGAGAGGAGAGGAGAGGAGAGGAGAGGAGAGGAGAGGAGAGGAGAGGAGAGGACGGATGAATCACCGGGAAAGTCTGCGGGAAACCAAATCAACGCTCTTCATCTTTAGACTCCCCCTTCCTTGCCTTGAAACCCTAGCTTTCTGGGGCAGGAGCGTCTGCAACGTGGCACCTTCAGGCTCAGCTCGCAATGGTTGTTTTTTTTCATTTGCTGAGCCCTCTCTCTGCATTCCTGGGGGAAAAGTGTGCCCATGCTGCCCGATGGTGAGTGGAGGTGAGGACTTGGCAGGGCTCCTCTGTTCGTGGTCCAGAAGCAGTCGCCCCATCCCAGTTGATCCTAATTCTATTTCTTATCCACTGTGTGATTTTTAAATGACCATTTCATGTATCTGAACCTGAAGTTCTTTATCTGCGAAAATAGGGCTAATAAACCCCCTTCAGCATTTTGCTAAATTAGCTGACTGTTCAACATGATGGCACCAGCTCTAAGTGGGACCTGGCACAAAGGAGGTGTCTTTACATGGTGATTTCCACACCTTTGGAATCTGCAGCCCTCCCATGCAGCTATGCCTTCTGTTGGAGTGAGCTGACTGCTTGCAGTGAGATTCAAACCATGCTCAGGGTGGTGGCATCAGTCAGATGACCACCCACCTGTCCAAGTGGCCCCCGCCAGGCTGCAAGGTGCTCTGGCCTTTGGCCGGTGACATTTGGACCTGTCTCCCTGAATGTCAGTCTGCTCACAGGTGCTGGGCTCACAGGTGCCAATCACCGCTGCCTCCGGCAGATCGGCATGCTGTAACATGCGCCCGCACGGTTTCTCCAGACAGACGGGGAAGGACTGAGTTGACCCAACATCATCTGTCTGGCTGGACGCTCATTTTTCTTCTCCTGCCTGTTTGATTCCTGCTCACTGCTTGAGATGTGTCTCAGGGTACCTTGCCCTCATGCGATCTTTCCACTCCTTCTGCCTCCTCTAATGTCAGTCCTGACCTTAACTTCAGTCACAGGGAGGTGTGCACTCATCACGCCACCTGTGCCTCCATCCAGCCCTTCTTTCCTCCTGTCCCAGAACGCCCACTGGGCGCCTTGCTTTGGGGGGATTTTTAGGCACCATTCTCCATAATGGGAGTAGTTTTCCACTTCAGAAAGAGATGATAACACACCCAGCATGTTCAAAAATTTCCACTATCATTGTTCAGGGCAGTGGAAAGGCCCAGGGCTGGGTGGGGTAGGAGGCTGGCTGTTACTAAA